ACTTGCAACTATCAATGCTCGTTCGGTGTCTGTGCATTTCTCACTTACTGTTGAGTCTCGCGAGCGTTCTTGCAACGACACTGTCTCATGCTGCTGGAAATGTGGATCGTTAGCCGGTGGTCGCCCTGCCAACATTGTCCTCTGTCTCCTCCGTTTCCGCCGTCGCTTCGCGGACGAAACAGACAAACCGAGTCGCGCATGAACAGCTCGATGGCCCGAGCCTAAAGCCGGGCACGCGGACGCGCGAGCATAAAGAACGATGGAACGGAACGCCCTGTCGATGAGGACGTAGCCGACTTGTGCAAACGTGATCAGCCTGAGCTTCTGCTGGCGCACGTAGAAACATGATGTGGGTACTTTTGAAAGCGAGTGTTCGTGATCATCAATTTCTCCTTATCCGCCCATGCTCGTGCCCATGTTCCTCTGGCGCTGCACGTCCCCATTCCAAATTTGCCAACCATTTTGTTCGGTGTGACCTGCTCGTCGTCGTTGTCTGTCTCGTCGCAGATGCTCTGAACCCCAACTTGCGCATTGAAATCGCCTGCCAATATTGTCATCATTCGCTGCTAGACTGCCTCTTTACGGAGGGCGGCGAGGACGTCGTATACCTGCTTCATGTGGGTGTCGCCGTAACCACCATTGGGAAAATACGACGCGATGATTCTCAGGGATTGCTCTGGCAAGTCCAAGTCCATGTCAACGATCCTCTCGCTGATGGCCGTGAAACTCTTGATGAATCGGGCATGCCGGCTATGCAACAGAATAGCAATTCCTCGTACATGGGGATCATGTCCTGCAGCTGCGAACGCGTGTTTTCCAGGTGAGGTTGTCCACGTACCTTTCTCTGCCGTCCTCCATGTTCCGTTGATGGCGATCACGTCCCAATTTACGTCGGCTATCTGATGTAAAAGTGTGTCAAAGTCGTCGTCCATTGTCAGGCTTCAAGCATTCTTGTGCATGAGTGCGAACTGGGATTTAATCGGGGGTGAAGGTTGGATGTCGTTACTTGGCCATGGGAAGTTGGAGCTGGACGGTTGCGCATGCTTTTCGCGATTTGGAGGTGGAAGCTTCGAGGTGGGAGCTTGCGTCGAAGAGGTGATTGTCTGCCCGCGCTTTGTGGTCTAAACTGGAGGAGACGGAACAGTCGTAGTGGCTGGCGTAGTCAATTGTCAATTGTCGCAAGGTCCACAGTGGAACGTCGCCGGGCACAATGTGTAGACTCGACGTCCTCCTCTTCCTGCATCGGGCTGGTGGCGTTGACACTCGATAGCTGGAGGTGGAGGGTGAGCGAGCTGGAGGTCGACGAGGGGAGGTTGAGGTGGAGAGTCGGATGATGGAAATCGAAGGTCAGAGGTACGACCTGGAATCGGAAAAACAGAGCGAGCTATCGGCGTCGTTGGTGCATCGTCCTCGCCAGAGTCGATGATGTAGGAGTCGGCTGAAAGTGGAGGTGCCGGTGTAGAACAAAAGTGTGGCTGCCTGAACGCTTCGCGAGGTGCAAGTCGCGGAGGTGCGGGGTCCGGAGCTGGAGCTGATGGAAGAGGAACGTATTCGGCGCGCCAGTCGCCAAGTTCCTGTTCAAGTTCTGGTCCTGCTGGCTGCTCTCGCTCCGCCGCCGGATCTGCGGGAGCGTCAAGTCCTGAGGGTGGTTCCTGAAAAGGGTCATCGAATGAACTTTTCCCAAGAACGGCTCCAATAACGGTGTCGGCGGAAGCCGTGACAGCTCTCCTCCAATTTACTCCGTGGCTTTCCAAACCCACTCTTGCATGAAGTCCTCCCGCAATTCCTCTGGAGAGATTTTGCGGCGAGGTTTGGGGAGTCAGGGGTGTGGTTGATTGATTGACCGAGCGTCTTTTCGAAACGTTGCTGTCCGTGTTGGGGACAGAGGCCTCGGAAGAGGTAGCCAGCGAAACAAAACGTGATGAAACGAATGTCGACGACGTGAGGTCTGCGTGGCCCGTACCTGGTGAAACGTGTCTGTTCCATTTTTCGGCGCAGCGTCCAACAAAGGACATTGGAGCCCATCGCCGTCCGCGGTGAAACAACTCTTGTTGTAGATGCTCGGTTGGAGCCTGGTCGGCCCACTCGAGCAGGCCGTGGTGTGGTAGCCGGAAGCTCGTCAAGCTTACACATCGATGTCTTCCAGCTTCCCAGTCTTGGTCGCGTGCCACTTCCCATCGCCGCCGTGCCATGCAATCTTTCTCTCTCCGCCCGTCTCGTCTTTGGCCACAAACATCCCCTCCGACCAAATTGTCTTTATGTCTGTATGTTTGTGCTGGGGGTGTTTGGCCAGATAGTATTTTGTGTAACCCAGGCGTTTTCCCGTTCCCTCTCTCTCCTCCTTGGTTAAGTTGCTCCTGAACAAGATGTCCCCCAGCGCCTTCTCGTCAGCATCGAGCGTGTCTCGTACCGTCCTCCAGAATTTGACCTTCGACTGTATGGAGGGGAATTCGATGACGCCGAACCTCGTCGAGCCGGTTGTCAGCACTGCTGTTGTAATGTCTTTTCCAGCTCCGCAACCACACTATCTGCTGTACTTATCCCGTCAAAACCAAAATCAACCACATGTTTAGCGCGCCTCCTTTTCTGTATCTGCCTTGCCTCCCCCCTCCGGGTTCGCCCACTTCCGCGCGCTGCTCCTGGAGGATTCGTTCATATCTTCGCGTCCTGAAATTTGCAGTCGATGATTTCCTCGATTTCGTCCTTGGTCAAATACATCTCCTCAAGATCGTTCTGGATACCCTCCACGCTCATTTCCTGAACCTCTTCTGCCGCCCTCCTTGCGTCCTGTGCCTCGATCCTGGCCTGATCGATCGCGTCGTTAATGCTGACCATCTCAACCATTAGATCGTCGTACTGCTTCGACTGGATACGGACGCATTATTTGAAATAGTCTGGGGCCGTGCTGAGATAATCGTCACCTGTTTTTGTGCATTCGAACTCTTTTGCATCCGTTTTAGCTTTATGCTTCTGTGGGGTGGAACCCGACGCTTTTTCGTTCGACCGCTTGCCACTCCCATTGGATGCCGTACCTGCCCAGCTCGGCGCCACGAGGGTGCAAGAACATACGTTGATATATGGAGGAAACGTCAAATGTGTACTTCGATGGTGGACTTAAGCTGTAATGCCTTACGCCGGAATGCCTTGAGCCGGAATGCCTTGGGCCGGAATGGGGGAAAGGGGAAGAAGGAGAGGAGGGACGGGGGGACACAAAGAGAAGAGAACGACGTCGAGGAAAAGACGCGTGTGGATGCTAAGGGGATGCCGCGAAGAGGAATCATCATGCCGGTGGCAAGATGGGCATGGGGGCACGGGAAGGCTGGGCAGGAGGAAGGAGAAATCAACTCTCTGACGACGTAGAACAGAGGGGGGACACCGAGGAGGTGCCCCTCCTCCACGCGTACCCCTCATAGTGACCTCAAGCCCATCCTGCCACCGTGCCTGGGTTCTCGGTAAGAGACCGCTGGGATGCTTGTTGGGATCTTCTTGGAAGCCTCTGGGCAGCCTTCTGGAGGCAAGTTTGAAGCCCTTTGGGGGCAATTTGGGGGCCTCTTTTGGGCCTCTTGGGGCTCCATCTGGAGCAATATTCGGTCGTCTTGGGGGCCTCTTGGGCTGTCTTGGCGCGATGTTTGAAACCTCTTCGGCCGTCTCGGGCCGTCGGAAGCCCGAACAGATGAGAGCACTGACAATTTCCGTCAGACACATGAACATCAATGTTGTTGGCCCCCTCAAGCCCACGTGGAGGTCGTCTTGAGGCCCTCTAGGGCCGTCTTGGGCCCTTCTGGGTCGTCTTGGGGAACTTTCGCCGTCCTAAGGCTCTGTTGGGGCTCTCCTGGGAACCTCTAGAGCTTTTCTGGGCCGCCTTGGTGTTTTCTTAGGCCATCTTTGGGGTCTCTTGGATCGTCTTAGTCCGGCTTTTGGCGCTTCTTGGGCCGTCTTGGAGCGTCGGAACCCGAAAAGGCGAACACCGTAAGTACCTTCCATACTTGTTGGGGAAACACGGATTTCAGAGTCCTCGGGCCCTCTTGAGGGTCCTCTTGGGCCGTCCTGGGGCTCTTCTGGGCCGTCTTGGGGTGCTTTGGCCGTCTTGAGGCTCTCTTGGGACCTCTTGGTGCGCTCTTGGGGCTCTCTTGGGACTCTCCCGAGCAATCTTGGGGCTTTCTTGGTCCGTCTTGGGGCCCTCTTGGGCTATATTGGGGCTCTCTTGGACCTTGTTGGGGCTCTCTTGGAGGCCTCTTGGACCGTCTTGGGCCGCCGGGAGCCCCAAAAACTTCGAAACACCTCAAACACCGAACGGGAATATACGACTATTGGCTCCCAGGGCCGTCTTAGAGGTCTCCTGTAACACTCTCGGGGTGTCTTGGAAGCAATTTGGGCCGCTGGAGGCGCCGAGTGAGCCGTCTGAAACATCCAGAGTTAGGTCGGGCATGTCCTCCTACAGGGGGATTTTGGACGACAAGTTCAGAAAGAGTAAAACATACACCAAAAATAGTCAAATATAGTGGAAAAACCGTCCCGACATTATTCTTGGACTATTTTTTAATACTCCTCCTGTAGAGAAACATCCCCGACTTAAGACTAGAGGCCGTCTTGGGACGACTCGAGGCCGCCGTGGGTCGTCTTGAAGGCTGTCTGATCGCCCTCGGCGCCGACTTGGGGCTCCCGCAGTGCGCGCGGAGCGCCCCGGCACTCCCATGTGCGGTCCAGGATGTATGCATGCATAGACACATATGATGAAATGCCTCTCCATGTTAGGTTGACAATTGTGTTATTTGTTCGGCTAACGGGGATAAGCGTGATGATGTGAGGGTGGTGGGATGATGACAAGATGCGGAGAGGGGGAGGAGAGGCTGGACGAATTCGGGGAGGATGAGGCACAGATGGATGGAGGGGGGGGTAATGAGAGCGGTGGGGATGATTGACGTCGCTTGCTTCCCCTTCTTCAGCCAGAGGCCTGTCAGCTGTCCCGCCGGCCGGCGGCGAAGGCGATGGTGCCCGTCCTGCGGCAGTGGGACGACATGGTCGGCCAGGTTCCTGTCGGCCAGGCGCGCGCGCGGGTGTACGGGATCGGGTCCAGGCCCCCAGTCGACGTCGTGGTCGTCGGGGTCTAGAGGGAGGAAGGGGGAGATGAGGAGGGGTGTCAGGAGGGGGGAGGAGGCGGAGGGAGGGGGGCGGGGAGGGAGAGAGGATGGGGAGGGAGGGAGGGCGGGGGGGACGATGAAGGAGGAGGAGGAGGAGGAGGAGGACGTCCTCCTTCTCCTCAACCTTCTGCTCCTCCTCCTCCTTCTCCTCCTCTTTATCTGGATCATCTGGGTCAGGCGCTGCTCCCTCTTAAGACTGGCTGGCCGAACAATCTGAACCCGAAACGTGCCGATGGCCTGCCTGGCGAATCTCGCCGTATGTTTTCCGAGCCGGCTCAGGGCTAGCAGCAGCATCCAGGAACAGAGTAAACGAATCGGCCTGGAAGCTGCGCTTGTGGATCACCCAGCTTCTCTGATACAACCCCATTTTGGAAGATATCGCTTGTGATTCGTGTATCTAGAGGACCCTTACCTTCGGTATCCTCCTCCTCCTCCTCCTCGAGCACGACGCGCACGCGTGATAAGAGCACGGGAGAGGTTGCAACAGTTCAACGAGCCGAAGTCCGTCTGGCGCGGAGGCTACAAACGCCCTCCACGCCAGCCTCATGTGGCGGGAGGTGCCGCTGTGCGAGTAGTGATAAAGGGGCTAGCTTGCCCCCTGGGGTGGGGACCCCAACTGTAAAATCGAAACGGGAATTGGCATCATAGCGTGGAGCATTCCGCGTGCACACCCGGATGCAGAGAGACGTCGGCTGTACACACGCTTCGGCATGCGTGATGCGGCGCCCACACAATGGCGGCACCGCCTTGGGCTTCTCCCCCTCGGCGGCCCAGAAGGATGGCAGCGGAACAGGTGCCAACAGTTCACGGAGCCCATAAGGGGGAAGGGCACTAGCACTAGTGTGCTGCGCGTTGGGCAGCAACGAGGGCCTCAATCCTGTCCTGGAGGGACGCCCCAAAGGAGGCGGCGGGCGGGAAGTCCTGCTGCATGTCGTCCCAGGATGTTAGCGCACGGTGGAACCTGTCAAGCAGCGGATGTGACTCTTCGTGGATGTGCTGGACACATTGGGCGAGGTGGTTGGCTCGCTGGCGCAACGCGTTACTGCTAACGATGAAACCAAATCCCACCAGCCCTTTGGGCGTGAGTGGTTTAGGGAGCTCTCTCTGTCCTCAACCCCCCTTCTTCCCCTTCGGGGAGGGGTTTACCCCTCCCCCTACCCCCTCCCCCTGGACCTGGAGAGGGAGTTCCGAGCGTCGTCAGGGGGGTCTTTTTCGACGCCTGGGAGGGCCAAAAAACTACGACCCTCACGAGGATTCTGGCCCCGAGGGGGGGGGAGTTTGGTGCCTCAGCTCGTCTTTGAAGCAAACATCATTGATTTTACTACGGTTTTGGCCCCATTTTGGCCTTCTGAGGGGGCCGCGTTCCCCTTCCTTCATAGCAAAATCATTGATTTTACGCAGGTTTTGGGTTCATTTTAGTCAAATCAGGGGGCAGCGCTCATTTGCGCTTCTGAGGAGGTCGCAAGAGGCTCCAAGATGGACCCAAGAGGCCCCCAGGAGGCTCCCAAGAGGCCTCCAGGAGGCCCCCAAGAGGCCCCCAAGAGGCCCCAAGAGGTCCCCAAGAGGCTCCCAAGAGGCCCCCCAGAGGCCCCAAGAGGCTCCAAGAGGCCCCCAAGGGCCCCCAAGAGGCCCCCAAGACGCCCCAAGAGGCTCCAAGAGGCCCCCAACAGGCCCCACGAGGAGCTCGAACGACTCACACCAGGACGAGAGACCCCAACGACTCACACCACGAGGAGCCCGAACGACTCACACCACAAGGAAGGGCCCGAACGACTCACACCAGGACGAGGCGCCCGAACGACTCACACCACGAGGAGCCCGAACGACTCACACCACGACGCGGGCCCCGAACGACTCACACCACGAGGAGCCCGAACGAGTCCCACCAGCCCTTTGGGCGTGAGTGGTTTAGAGAGCTCTCTCTGTCCTCAACCCCCCTTCTTCCCCTTCGGGGAGGGGTTTACCCCTCCCCCTACCCCCTCCCCCTGGACCTGGACAGTGAGTCCGGGGTGTCGTCAGGGTGGTCTTTTTTGACCCCTGGGAGGGCCAAAAAACGACGACCCTCACGAGGATTCTGGCCCCGACGGGGGGACCCAATTTGGCCCCTCTGCTCTTCTTTAAAGCCAAAATCATTGATTTTACTAAGGTTTTGGCCCCATTTTGGCGTCCTGAGGGGGCCGCGCTCATCTTCCTTCATAGCAAAATCATTGCTTTTACTAAGGTTTTGGGCTCATTTTGTCCTTTTCAGGGGGCAGCCCTCACTTGCGCTTCTGAGGAGGTCGCAAGAGGCCCCAAGATGGCCCCAAGAGGCTCCCAGGATGCTCCCAAGAGGCCTCCAAGAGACCCCCCAGAAGCCCCCAAGCGGCCCCAAGAGGCCTCCAAGAGGCCCCCAAGAGGCCCCCAACAGGCCCCCAAGAGGCCCCAAGAGGCTCCAAGAGGCCCCCAAGAGGCCCCACGAGGAGCCCGAACGACTCACACCAGGACGAGGGGCCCGAACGACTCACACCACGAAGAGCCCGAACGACTCACACCACAAGGAGGGGCCCGAACGACTCACACCAGGACGAGGCGCCCGAACGACTCACACCACGAGGAGCCCGAACGACTCACACCACGACGCGGGCCTCGAACGACTCACACCACGAGGAGCCCGAACGAGTCACACCAGGAGGAGGGGCAGCGCTCATACAAGCCCCCCAAGATGGCCCCCAGAGGTCCACCAGATGGCCCCAAGAGGTCCCCAGATGGCCCACAAGAGGTCCCCAGGAGGCACCACGAGGCCTCCAAGAGGCCCCCAAGATACCCCCAAGAGGTCCCCAAGAGGCCCCAAGAGGCGCCGAAGACGCCCCAAGAGGCCTCGTCCTTCTCCCGCTCCCCCCACAAGGAGGATGTACAAGGAGGCGGGAGGAAGGAGTAACAGGGGAGATATGCGGGGCCAAGCGGACACACGCCTGAAAAACACGACTGTCGGCATGCTTCGCAAGAGTTGCTGTTGTGAGATGGGCTGGTGAGGATACGCGAAGCGTAAAGAATTCGCTGTCACCGCCAAGTTGCCGTGTAGCGGCCGTGAAATGGTGTGTGAAAATTTGCCTGCGGTCGGACCGCTGGCTACACGACGATCCGTGCCCTGTGCTGGTGGTGGCGCTGGGCCGTTCGCTGCTGTCCGTACCCTTGTGAAGAAGGTGGCGGGCTGGCGTTGGGAGCTGACGACGGTGGCCTGGGCGGGGGTATCACGAGCCGCCTGGTCCTGCCCGTGAGGGGGCGCTATTGACACGCGTCGTACGGGTGTGCGTGGTCATTGCGGTCGTCGTCGCCGCCGCCGTCGTTCATGGAGGCGCCGAGCCCGAGCGCGTCGAGTTCGTCGCCGCCGACGCAATCGACCTGGCCCGACCACAGACCATCGACGTGGTCGAAACAGTCAGGTCATGGTGGACCGTCTGGGTGGCCAGGGCCACCTAACGAGCCTGCTGGTTCGTTCCCACCTGGGCTGGTGGGAGGGTTGGGCATCGCCTTGCCGAATTCAGCCCTGGAGTATCCCGCTCTCCTGCGCGACAAAATGGGTTTCTGGCGACGCCAATCATAGATGGCGACGACCGTGCAGTGGATGTTTGCGTCGAATTTGTGTCGCCATTGGGCGGCGTCGATGGAGCCTCGGGGGCCGCCAAGTGTGGGGACACTCCAAGATTCGTGGTCAGATTGGGGGGGAATCTCAAGCGGTTTGCCTGCTTCAATCCACCAGACTTTTCTATCCCGTGGTATAGCAGGCGTGGCATATTGTGGGCAACCCAAGTCGCGCCCAGACTGTGGGGATGTCTCGAGCGGCTTCTCTGTTTTCACGCCCGACAGCCTCTGCTTTCGGAACAGATTCTGAGGATGTCTTAGGCGAGGCGCTGGTTTCAGCACTCCTAAGGGGGGGGGCGCCAGCCAAATGGAAGTGGGTCACAGCGGCGCCCGTGATTAGAGCCAGCATCGGAGGGGGGGGGGAGGAGGAGGAGTCTGAGGAGCGAGGGAGGAGGAGGAGAGAGGAGGGGTAGGGAGGTGCGCGGCGGGGAGGCGGGAGCCATTTCGGTTCAGGCCAAACATTGTGGAACACAGCCAATCTTCCAGACTAAAGACCCTCTCTTCTGCTGTTACTTATCTGGCTCGGATGTTGCGATCTAATTGGCCGCCCCTGAGGGGACATACACCGCCGCTCCACCTTTTTTGGAACGCGGAGCTTGTGGGAGGGGGGGGTCCAATACGGCCCTATAGGGCCCAAGAAATCTCCGCAAATCGAGGTCTCAGAGGCCCCCGAAAGGCTCCGAAAACGGCCCCAAAAGGTACCCAAAACTGTTGAAAATGGCGGACGAAACCGAAGAGGGATACGGATATGTAAAAGGGTGCACCTCCAGTTAGTTCTTTGGGTTTCAGAAGGCCCTCCATGGACGCCCTGGGCGCGCCCAAGACGGCTCCAGAGGGCGCCAAAAGGGTGGGTGGCCAGACGAGCCCAGATGGCTCCAAGAGGCTTTCAGGACGGCGAAAGATAGCTGGAAGATATTACCAAGCGGCCTGAGTCCCCAGAAGTGTCAGAAGAGGCTCCATGGGAGCTCCAAGAGGCGCCAATGAAAGCCTGAAGTGACGAAACTGATTACAACATTCTGGAATTCTGATGTTCCTAATTTTCCTTAGGCAATCAATCCAAAATAACTAGAATAGTACTTCGGAGAGGTTCGAGACGGCCCCAGAGGGCACCAAACATGGCTCAGAGGGCCCAAGTAGGCTCCAAAGAATGCCCAGGAGGGTTTCCGGAGAGGTTCACACAGGGCGCACGGAGGTTCTGAGGGTGAGTGCGAAATCCTCGTCGACCGTGGTTCAGTATCGAAGAAAGATAAACCCAAGTCTGTGTTCATTCGCTGATGAACCTCAATTCATTATCTTATGGCGGAGTTGTCGGTCACCCCCTCCCAGCTGCACAATTATCTTTCCAGAATGAAAGCCCAGTCGCATTATTCCAGCATAATAAGCCGAGGCTGATGTTCTCCCTGTGAGGCACTGTGGTTCGGGGGACATGGGGGGATAATAATACATAGTGAACCAAATAGACCCCCCCCCGGCTCGATCATCATCATGCCGGAATAATGAACCCTAGTTGATAATGTCCCGGTCAGAAAGAATGAACTAAGTCGCCCCCCCTGCTTGATTGTTATCACTCTGGAACAATAAGCCCAAATTTATAATGTCCCTGGGAAAATACATCAGGGTCAATATTCGAGCATAATAATTCTCACCCTGGTGACGGGTGGGCGGGGGAAAAATAATTATTAGTATCATTCCATCATAGTGGACCCAATTGATTTTCTTGGGGTTCCGAAGCTGGGGCCCCGAAATCATTATAAACTGAAATTCATATTGTTCCAAGGGAACATTCTAAACCCCAATTCATATCCCCGGAACATTATAAACCCAAGTTTACAATGTTCCAGGGGGGACATTATGAACCCCAGTAAATATTCCCGGAACATTATAAACCCAGGTTAGTATCTATTTGGGGTTCATCCTGGAGGTTCTGGCCCTCCCTGTACTTTCAGGACTCCGATCTATCCATTTGTTATGCCGCCTTATGTGGTGCGAGCTATCGCGTCCTGGCCGCATGGCCGATTAACTTTTCCAGGGATGAGGCGGATGTGCGATGGAGGGGTAGACTGAAAATACTCTCTTGTTAGCCAGAATAATGAGGATGACATTTGCTGGAGCGATACCCTGAAATGGTTATCGCTCTAGCTTGCCAGACGGAGCCATAATATATGTATACATATGTATATATATGCGCTTGAGAGGTAATCTGAAACATGGTTATCGCTCTAGCTACTCAGAGGGATGATGTGGAGGATTATTGTTGGAGAGGTAGCCTGAAAAGGGATGATCGCTCCCGCTGGGCAGCAGGAGGAGAAAGAGGAGGGTGAGGAGGAGAGGGAGGATATTCGCAGGAGAGGTAAACTGAGACGAGTTATCGCTCAATCTACTCAGAGGGAGGAGGAAGGGGATACGTGCTAAAGAGGTAGCCTGAAAGGTTATCGCTCTCGCCAGTTAGAAGAAGTATGATGGCATTTGCTGGAGGGGTAACTAACTTGAAAGGGTTATAGCTCTAGCTACCCAGACGAAAGAAGATTTGGCGACTTGCTGGAGAGGTAACATGGAAGGGTTCCCGTTCCAGCTAGTCAGAGGGATGAGGATAACGATGCCATGGAGAGTTAACCTGAAAGGTGTATCGCTCTGTCTGGTGCGATGTGAGAGAAATATATTCGCTGGAGAGGTAACCTGAAAAGGATAATCGTTCCAGCGAGCTAAGAAAGGAAGAGACTTGTCGGGATTCGGTGGGGGGAACCTTGTGCTGGTCATGTTTTTTCCTATCGATTGAACGTCTGTTTTCGGTTCATTGTGTTTGATGTGGTCGGGTTTGGGGCTGTTTTTGAAGGGAAGCATGTTGTTCTTAATAAGACCAGGAGAAGAGGAGTGACAGAGACGAGAATTGCGAAATCTAGGCTGCGGAAGAGGAACTTGGAAACATAATACCTCAGCGATACGTGTCAGGAGCATGAGAGGCACATATGGGGATCTCCACATCGAATCACCTTTCTTCGGTTCACGCAAGAGTGACCTTTGGTGCGACTTTGCAGGCTAACGAGGGGCCAAATCCAAGTGCCCAAGTCTCTTCAAGCCAGTGAGTGGTCACTCTTACGCGTAGCCACAACAAGGCAGGGACCTTGTCAGCGCTCCATCCACGCGGCTCTCCTCCCGCAAGCCTATGCTCAACCAGCCGAGGCGCCCTCTCCACTTCTCAGAAGGCGCCTTAGAAACCTCCCCGCTTCTTAGAATGCGCCTGAGGAACCTCTGGACCCTTCCAAGGAAGCCTTTGCGAAGCGTAAGTCGGGGACCTGCTGACCCGGGTCAGTCCAGACCTGGGTCAGCCAGGCCCTGCAGGATCCGCAAGATTCTGCAGGATCCTGCACCCAACCCCAGGTCAATGTACCACTGGCCCTGCAAGATCCTGCAAGATCGGGCGCCCAGGCTGACCCCCGTTCGCATTGACCACTGTCTCGTAGGCCCCGACTAAGAAGTCTACCCACTTTCCGGCACCCCCTTGTGCGCGACGCCATGTATGCACAGTCCCCTACCCTCCGATCCGACGTGACGAAAAGACGAATGCAGCATCGTCACGTCGCTTCCGAAAAGACGAAGGCAAGACCGCTCTGGAGCGACCTATCTTTATACTGGGTTTGCCTGGAGAAGCAAGGGGCCTAAGCCGAGGGGCCCGGAAGCCTCTGACAGTGCCTCTTCAGACGGCAGGAGGGCTTCCAAGGATCCCCCCCGCCCCATTCCCTAAGATCCGAAGTTGTGAACAAATTGCAACGTCGCGAATAATCACGACTGGAGTCCCAGACCCCATCTTTCTGCTACATCTTCGAGCGGGGACGAGCTCTGATGGCCTCCGGGTCCGAAACAGGGCGAAAACGCTGTGTGAAGACACGGATCTCGGGGCAAGAAGCTCCCGGGCTCTCCGACTTTCCTCGAAGGCCGCTCCCCTCGCGCCGCCCCCCTCGTGCGCGCCACCATGTAGGCGTGGTCCTTGACGCCATGGGCGGGATCCCTGGCCGAGCCCTGGCCGAGCGGCAGTCGTTCCCTCAAGGAAGAGTGGGAAGAAGAGGAGAGGAAACGGAGGCTGGAGGAGGAGGATGAGGCAGGAGAAGGAGGGAGAGAGACGGATGAAACAGGAGGATGGCCTCCATAGTCAGAAGGACGACGATGACGATCAAGCAGATCCGGGAGATTCTCATGTGGGGTCCTACCGTTGTGGAATATGGTGTGCGATTCGCTTCCCCGAAAGAGTGATTCAAGAGCCCAAGAAGGTTCAAGAAGGCCTGAAGGCTGCCCTCAGTCGGCCTAAGACAGCCCTAGGAGCTCACTAGGAGGGCCCGACGCTCCGAGAGCCCACCAGATCGTGGACACATCTACGCAAAATGTTTCGTTGTGTTTCACTCGTCGCCTGATTCCAGCCCAGTATGTCCCGAGACAGCTCACGGAGGCCGCCGCATCCGCCCACGTCACCCCCAAGGGGTTGCCCGCAGCTGCAAACAGCAACGCGTCGAATCTGACCATCGCGCACGTGCGCATGTCGGTGTGCATATAATTACTTTCCCCAGACCGCATCCATCTTGTCGAATGCCCCTCGAACGTGAGATCGTTGACACGACGGTACCATATTACAACCAAGAGAGGGCCTTGCATACAACGGTGTGATGTACATGTTGATGAGCACGCAACGTACCGCCACACTACCACTGCCCTTTGGCCCGTGCCAACATATACGGAAGTCTGCGTACCGACCGTGGAACATCCACGCGGTTTTCATGTCAACAGACCCCGTCCTGGTGATGACGTGGTTGGATGTGATGCTCGCGACGTTCGGGGTGCCGCTGAGGCGCATCACCATCTGCAACTCGTCCTCGTCGCAACTCCGCCCCCTGCCTTGCTACCGTCCTCCACACAACGCGGCGCCTTCCCGTGGACACCTCGCTCGCCCACCTCCTACCCCACGGGACGACAAGGGCGCGCCCTGCACTGTCACGCAAACACTTTCTGCCAACATCAACGCCACCAACTTCTGCTCGCTCCAACAAAGCGGACCGCAGCAACCTCCGCTACCGTCCCCGTCCTCCCCCTCGCCCCCCGCCTCCCCTGCCGGCCTCGCGCCTCCGACCACGCCCTCCCCTCGTCGCACGGCAGGCTCTTTTGCGTAATGGCGACCTGCGCGTTGGCATCTGACGCCGCGCAGATCATTCAACGCTGGACGATCGCGTCTCCCTGGTCGCGCAAATCGTTCGGTGTCGGCCGATTCTGCGGATTCTGCGACACTGGGCGCGCTCAACGTTGAAGGCCCGCGCTGGCGGGGGAAACCGGCTCAAGGGGTGACACCTCGACCTGGAACATGCCGCAATGCATCGCCTTGACACGACGCGAACCTGCCGCACACCCGTCCCCTCGACGTGCCCCGGGCCTGCAGCATGTGAACCATGCGGACGATGCCCTTCTCACCGTAGGAGGCGAGCGAATAAAGCACCTCTGCCGCGTCGCTGGCGACGTCGGGGCGAAAGGACGACAACCAAGGCCATGTCTTGTGTGAGCTGCCGACGATGCCGGGAAGGAACGCCCGCCGCGAACACTACCACGTTTCCAGACGCTGATGGCGGTGGCTGAGTGCCGAGGGTGGTGGTGGTGGCTGAGCGGCGCCGATGGTGGCTGAACGCCGACGCCTCGGACCTAGATCATAGATCCCTCTACCAGCGGAGGCGACACCGCCAGAGACAAACCTGGGATGGGGGACTTGGAACCCGCCACGGGAATGCGGGGAGAGGGAAGAAGATGACGAGGGGGGAAGGAGGGGGAACAAACGGGTGGAAGGGGGCATAGGCAGGGGGTGAGGTCGCAGATATCGGACGTCGCGCTTTCGTGCAACGCCACGTGGGCCACGGCGTTTCCTGTTGTTTGCCATATCCTGAGATGGAGTTCTTGTTATTATTACTTAGACGCCTCCGGTTTCTTCCTTCCTCCTCCCTCCTCCTCCCTCTTCCTCACTCAGATTCAATCGCACTCAGGCTCACACTCACTCGTACTCAAAATCACTTACACTCAGACTCACTCACACTCAAACTCAATGACACTCAGACTCACTCATACTTAGACTCACTCATAGACCCACTCACACTCATAACCACTCACACTCAGCAGTACTCACACTCAGACTCACTCGAGATAGTAAGCGTGGCACTTGGGCAACCCATGGTGGAACCGCCAGGGATGGGAACACTCCGGGATTCTCGCCCAGATTCTGGGGATGTTTCAGGCGGTCTCGGCCCCCGAGACTTCTCTATTTTGGTGGTCCAATGCCCACCACCATACAGCATGCGTGGCACGTATGCACCCCAAGGGGGGGTGGCGCCAGGGGTGGGGACACTCTTAAGGACTCGCGCCCAGATTGTGGGGATGTCTCCTGCGGCTTGCTCGTGTTTTTTTTGGGGGGGGGGGGATTACTCGGCTGGCAGACGTGCCCCGCGCGCTCACAGCACCATGTGGAGGCACCCGGCCTTCGCCTTCGCAGTCAGACACCGCTGGTATCGCGCGCTGAACGCGGGCAGCCCCGAGTACACAGCTGGCGCCTCGCCGTCAAACAGCTCCCGCAGCAGGCTCGCCTCACGGCCCTGTGAGCCCTGGTTTGCCACCAAGGAGCCCATGCCGTACGCCGTCAGATTATGGCAGATGGCTGCAAGGGTGAGTGTGGCGACGAACCCATTGCTGAGTCTCATCCACGCCAGATCCTCGGCCTGCGACACATTAAACTTCAATGCGTACAGCTGCCTGGCTACCTGCATGGTACTCGGCGCGATCGAACCCACGGGCAGAACGGCGTGGTACCAATACGCATGGAAAATCCGGTCGAGGTCCTTGAAGAGGAGTGCCCCGAAAGGGCAGCCCGCCCGGCTGGAGGTGTTGCACCACGCAGCAAGAGTGGCCCCCTGAATCATGACCTCCGCCAATCCATGAAAAGCCCACCCGTCACCCTTGAACTCCTTCGTTCTGTAGGTGGGCTTCGCGTTGCGCTCGCTACTGATGAAGAAGACGTCGGTCCTTTTCCCAAGGTCGCGCTGGAGCGCCGCGGTCGGCACCGCGTTCACCCTGACGACTGTCGCGTGCGAGTCCACGGCCTGCCCCAGCCTTCTGCGCTCCATCGCGCGCGGGTTGCTGACCACCCCGCAGTCCGGGCTGGTGCCGAGCGCCCGCCCGCCGAGCCTGTCGACCACGTCCCTGGCCAGGAACGTACAGTCCCGCGAAGCCTGCAACGCCCTGCACCTCTCCGCTGGCGTGCCTCCGCCTGCCCCCGCCTGCCGCGCCAGCCGCTCCCGGTACAGCTCCTGGGCGGCGCCCGCTTCCCTCCGCACCTCGCCGAGCAGGTGCCCGCCCTCCGCCAGGGCCCGCCGCGCCCGCTCCAGCCGCAACAGCGCCTCCCGCTCGTCGCGCAGCCCGCGGGCCGCGCGGCCGGGGGGGCCGGGCTCGGCGGGCTCCGCTCGGCTGGCCGCCGCCCGCGCGGGCGCGGAGGCCGCCCACCAGGGGACCTCCTCGGGCTCCGAGGGCGGCGCTGCGAGGCCGCGCCCGGCCTCGAGGTCGCAACTCTGTAGCAGCAGGCACGCGCCGAGCAGGGCCACGGCGCCCGAGGCCGCCAGGGGGCGGACGAGTGCGGCGGTCCCGCGCATGGCCGGCGGCAGCCCGCTGGCTCGGAGCCAGGCTTGAGCCAAAATGGCTACGGACCGGCGGCTTGCTCGCTTTGGCATCCCAAACTTCTCTCTCTTTCGGTGGTCCGTGGCACTTGGGCACCCCACGGGGGAGCCGCCAGGGGTGGGGACACTCCTGGATTCGCGCCCAGAATGTGGGGATGCCGGAGGAGGACGAGGAGAAGAAGGAGGACGAGGAGGGGGCGAGGGCGACGACGATCGACGAGGACGACCGACGACGACAATGACGACCGACGAGATTTCTGAGAAATCGACAGTGGCGAGGTAGGCATTGCTCGCCGGGGGGCACGGCATAATGCCAGCACGAGAGAAGCCGCTCGCGCCCTCCGTGGCCCGATGCCACGTGCGGGCGGTCTGGCTGGCGCTGGCTCAAAGAACAGCCCCATGGTTTCTTCCATTGCCACTGCGTGAGCGGGCCCGGGCCGGCCCAATGCCAAGTGCTGACAGCATATGTTTCCAATACCCCTCGCGTCCAGTCGCGCCCTGCTAGGTGACAAGTTCTGACAGTCGCCTGGCCTACTAGGCCGATGCTAAGTGTGTACGGTCGCGCCCGACGGCAAATCCCGACGGCGTTTCAATTTGTTGGCGAACAGGACTCGCTTTGGCGGCTTAGAGGAACGAGCAACATATCTTCCCTCAGCGCCATGTGCTCTTGCCTGAGCTGCGACATTTCCCCGCAGTGAGCACGGCAAGAGGAATTCCCCTTCGCTCTTCCACTTGTGCTGCCTTCCTCATCTCTCCTAAGAAGTGTCCAGAGTAGAAGGAGGATGTCACTGAAATCGTCGTTGTCGTCGTCGTCGCTGTTGCCCCGCCGTCTACACGGACTCGCTCTCGCACCCACATGCTCACAGACGGAGTCCTTCATCGAGACGTGCCGAGAATATGAAATGCACACGAGGATTTTCGCGTTGAAGAATTGTTTTCCTCATCCCCTCCCGTTTTTTCGCTACGATGCCTGAGGCGGACGCGGGAAGGAAGGAACAATGGGAGCTGGGCTCGGGGTCGGCGGTCGAGAGAGAAGCAGACCAAGCCTCGAGCGGGGCCCGAGGTAGCCTCGAAGCGGTGACGAGCGGGAGCCGACGACGGCGGCGGCGATATCGTTATCGTCGTGGTCGTCATCGTCCCGCCCGCTCGTACCACCTGCAACATCGATCAACATCACATCGGGACATCGATCGGATCGGAACGCGAGTCCGGTCGGGTCGCCTCGGCTCGGAGCTGGAGTCCAATCGGACCTGCCGTGCCAAGATGCACAGCGACGCTGTGCACGCATCGGCCCGCATCGGGCCGTCGGAGCATCGGAAACGAATCGGATCGGGGCGGCCAGAATCGATATCGAATCGTACCGATCCGACTGAGATGGACCCTACCCCGAGAAGCTTCCAGAGCTGGAAGCTTTGAAGTGGGCACCAGCACGAGAACGGGGAGGTGCGTCCACTTGGGGAGGATGATCCCAGACTTTGGTGTTAGTGGTAATCGCACCAGCCCTGTAGGGCGTGAGTGGTTAGTTTAGCGAGTTTTCCCTTCCAACCTCTCTTTCCCCCTTCGAAGAAGGGTTCATTCCTGTTCCCTAACCCCTCACCCAGACGACTCGCAGCCAACCCGTCCCCATGCGGGCACCCCAACCACCATCCCTCTCCAAAAGCATACGAAATACACTTTGGGGCAAAATATCGGGTCATGATCTTGGGCCCCGCGAGCACTTTGTAATGCTTTTTGAAGGGACGGCGGGGGTGCTGGCATGCTGCCTGCTGTGCGCAGGGCCACCACCCCTATAAAAAGCAATACCAGGTGCACTTCGCGGCTAAATCTGGATGGTGCTCGGCCACCCCGCGATCACTGTCCATTGATTTTTGACAGGGGCGGGGGGGGTGCTAGCACATTGCCTGCTGTGCGCAGGCCCACCAGACACCATGATGGCCGCCCCGCCGCGAGTGGGCGTTGGTTTCCGACAAGAACGGTGGGGGCCGACATGTTTTCCGATGTGTGCTGTCACGTGCGCGGGCGCACCTGTCACACTCTGCGCGCGCCACGAACTTGGCGCACCTGGCGTGGCTGGAACATGCGGCACACATGGCGCACGTGGAGCACGTGGCGCATCTGGCGCACAAGGCATGCCTTGCACGCTCGGGCCCCACGGGTGCCTGGCGCACATGGCGAGGGTTACGCCTGGCACGCGTGGCGCACCTCGCCCCAGTGTCGTGCACATAGGGTCTCTTGGTTCCGAGCAGCCGCCCATGCAAGGGCGACCGCTGAAAATGACTAAGCTCGTGTGTGACTCATATATTGGGAGGGCGGGTGGGAATTAACGAGACGGCTTGCGGGCGGGAAGGGTATCTTGACCAATGCCCTACCGGCGACAAGCCCGGGACACTGCCAACACCCCCCCTCCATCCCTTGCAAACGACACCGGGACAGCACGGGGACAACGCCAACACCGGGACAATGCCAAATGCATCTTGCACCAAAATCTGGAACATGCGCGGATCCCCGCGATCACTTTGCATTGTTTTTGACAGGAATGGTTGGGGGGTTCGACAAATTAACTGCTGTGTGCAATCTCGCCCCCTCCAACCATCGCCTGCAAACGACACTACGTACAACATGCACTTTGCACCAACATTTGGATCATACGCGGGCGCTCCCGCGATCACTTTGCACTGGTTTCTACGGCGGGGGAGCTGGCATATTGTCAGCTTGTGTGCAATGCCAACATCCCCACCATCCCTTGTAAACAAAATGCAACGTGTACTTTGCACCAACATAGCGATCATGCGCGGGCGCCCCGCGATCACTTTGCTTAGGTTCTCGACAGGGGCGGCGGAGTGGCCAGCAGATTGCCTGCTCATCCCAGTCAAAAGCGTCAAAAAATGCGAACTGATCGCGACTGCACACGACACACAAAATGCTGGAATGCCCGCCGTCACTGTGCTTTGGTTTTTGAAAGGGATGGTGGGGGCCGGCATATTACCCAATGTGGCGCACCTGGTGCGCGTGTCGCGTGCGTCGCGCACCTGGCTGGCGTCTGCGTGGTTTCCAAGGGTTGTCGATGACGGCGCCTGCCCATGCTGAGACTTGGGTGCTCTATTTATGTGATGGGAGGGCGGGTGGGGGTGCACGAATAGGCTTGCGGCGTTCCCGCGGCGAACTTGATTTTTCCCCCTGTCCCCTTCCCTGGAACTGGAGGGGAGGGACCGCGGGTGTCAGAGGGTCCGAGAAGGCCTTAGCGAACAAGTGGACATCATTGTTTTTCCCCCAAGGTTTGGGCGATATCACAAGCGTTAAAAAGGCAGCTCTAGCAAATACGAGCTTCTTCCCCTTGTTTGACCGAGCTCCTCCAAGTTGGCCCCAAAGAGGGCCCCCAAGGTCCCCGAGAGTGCCCCAACATGGTCCAAGAGGGTCGAAGAGCCGACATGAAAGCCCCAAGAGGTCCCCAATAGGCTGCTAAGAGAGCTCCCGGAGGCCCAAACGAGGCCTCCCCCGAAACACCCACGACGCTCCAAGAGGCCGCCAGGACTGCCAACAGGCATCCAAGACGACCCAAGAGGACCCCAAGAAACTCTCAAGAGACACCCGAAGAGACTCAGAGAGGTACCGAAGAAACCTCTGGCCTTTCTGCTCGCCCTCCTCCTCCTCCTCCTCCCCCTCCTCTTCCTCGTCCGCGTATTCATCCTCCCTCCTCCCTTCCCCCCCCTCCCCCACCACCCTCCCCTTTTTCCTCCTCCTCCTCCTCCTCCTCCTCCTCCTCCTCCTCCTCCTCCTCCTCCTCCTCCTCCTCCGCCCCCTCCTCCTCCTCCCACCCGCCCCCGCTTGTAATATAACGGCTTCCCCAGCCCTTTATTCCACTGAGTGATCTTGCACATCCCTGATCAACGCAACTCGCTTGGGCATCGTTTCAGGATGGGCTGGCGGGGTAGTGTCTTGATGCGCAAACAGGAGGGGCGAAGAGGGAGGCAACGAGAGGACAGCGGAGGGAGGAACAAACAGGAGACGGGCCTCGCTGCCGCTCAGAGGAGAGCGCCGTCGACTGGGGGGGGAGCCGGCGGCCGGACTGCAATGCCAAAGTGGCGGGGAATTCGGGTTGGACGACACCGCGAACGTGCCGGAAGTCAGTGATCACCGGCTCGTAGTCGCACCACGGGGAGCAGGCGCCAAGATCAACGGTCGCATCGTCACGCGGGTAGCGGGCATATCCCGCGCGCCGCCAGGCGTCGACCAACTCGCGTGCAAGCGCTCAACGGACCAAGGTCCGGATCGCCAGACACCGTCGAAGACTGCTGTCGAGTCCGCGTTCCACGGAGCGGGGAATGCGGGCGGACGCGCGCACACCGGGTAGGGACCGATCCAGGCGACCGAAGGCCCCGGAGCGCACCATGGAAGCGTCCAGCCGCGAGCGTGCCAGATCCCGCTTGGGGACCGTCGGGGAGACTAAATCCGCACGGTGGGGGGCGACCGAGAGGTCAGAGCTGGTGGGGGGACTTTTTCGGTCGCGGCCGCGAGCGAAGAGGCAGGCGGCGAAAGCAAAGTCCGGGGCGCGAGCGAGGCTAATTAGCCACAACAGGCACAGGCCGGCCGGCCCACTCACAAAGCAGCCGCGAAGCTGAAGGGGAGCTGACGGCGGGGGGCATCCTGAGAGCTCGAGCACGTGCACAGGACAAAGTGTCATGGAATTCGGTGCCTGCCATGGCACGACCCACACAGTATGAGACGTGAACCAGGATCACCAAGTCCGTCGTTCTGAGTGGAGGCAAGTGGGAGGCCTGTGGAGTGAGTCGCCGGTGGGGCGCCAGGCTCCAAACGCCATTGACGACGTGAGCTAGCCAGGGGGGCTGAGCTGTCGCGAGCCGTGATGCAACGCCACTGGGGAAAGCTGATGGTGAGCCTGGGGTGCTGCAGCTGCTGCGGAAGGCGGAACCACTCCGTGGCGGTGCCAACACCCGTCAGACCACTCCACAGTGCAAGGGGCAACTAAGCGACTGTGAGCCACGCAGTGCGTGCCGGCACGGCGTCAGGCCTCTGCGTGAGGGGGGGAAGACCAGCTGGCGTGGTGAGCATCGCCAGCGGGGAAGAGTAAGGGGAGCTGCACTGGTGGTAGTGCTGCCTTCTGAAGAACGCCAAACTGAGACAGGGACAAGCATATCCCCAAGTGAACAGACCTGGCTGTACCTCCCGGGGCACGTGGCGCCTGTGCGAGCAAGGCGTGCCGATGCCATTGGGCGATGCGCCTGGGGGGAGCTGCGCTGTGGCAGACACGAGAGCCAACGGACGCCAAGTCCTGACCCTGTCCACCTCTTGGCACTTCCACCCAAGACTCAGGAAACGCCAACATACACCACGTGAGCCTCCAGGGTCGCAGCTAACCGCCGCTGAAAGTGATGAGCCATACCACGGACAGCGAGGGACACGGGCGGCCCTGGGGGGGGGGGCAACAACACCGGCGTCTGTCGGTACGCCTGGCGGGCCTCGGGGCCAAGGGCGGGGGACACCCGCCTGGCCCGAGAGGGGAGAGGCGAGGGCAAGCAACGCCCCTCCCCTCGGCCTGGCCCCGAACCTGTGGGTCAGGGGACATGATAATTTTTTTTTTCAGATCGAGCAGCGGTGGAGTATGGCGAGGAGGACGGAGGCGGCCAGGCGCGGCACGGCGGCGGGGAGCGCGTGCGAACGACACCCGCGGCGCCAGCAGCAGCTGGCTGGACCTCTTGTGGCTCCGACGGCAGAGCTGCGGGGAGAACGGCACCGAGGCGCGTGCGGCAGGCCATATTCCAGCCCGCGGCCCGCATCACGACAACGGGTGGTAGCAGGCGGCCGCCTGGCCGCTGGCGGAGGTGTAGATCGAGCTCGAGCTCCCGCTGTCCTCTGCCCAGCCGTCCTCGGAGGCGCTGGTCTCCTCCTCCTCCTCCTCCTCCTCCTCCTCCTCCTCCTTCTCCTGCGGCGCCCCACCGTGGTGCGGCGGGGGGGGCTCGTCCTGGGACGCCCCGCTCTCCTGGATGGGCTCCAGGATCGAGTCCAGGGGCCCTCTGCAGACCCTGAGGCCGGAGAGCACCAGCCTCACGGGCACGTCCGCGGCGTACTTCTCGAGGCCCCCGAACTCGAGCCACGTCCTCCTGGCAAGCACGCGCACCCCCTGGCTCGGGGGGAGGTCGAACGCCATCCGCCGCAGGCGCACGCGCGAACTGGAGGCGCGGCTCACGGCGGCAGCCTGCACCTCGTCGTAGACCCAGCTGTCGAAGTGGCCCGCGGACCTCGAGGGGACCAGCTCCAGCATGCCGACGCAACTGTCCAGCAGCCCCGCGCAGCCGAAGGCTTCAGAGCAGCCGACCACGTCCAGCGTGGGGGTGCCCGCGTCGAACACGATCTCGCAGTGCGCGCCGCTGCGCGCCCGGGAGGCCCGGGCCCGCTCGGCGGCGCCCGACGCCGCCCCCTCGGGGAGGCGCGGGGCGCCCTCGGCGGCCGAGGCCGGGGGCCCGGAGAGCCCGCACGCGACCTCCTTGATGCAGAGGCAGAGGCCGTCGTGGGCCCACAGCCTCGAGAGCGGGCTGGCCACGCTGGCGCCAGGCAGGCGCACGCAGACGATGCTGGCCTCGAAGGCGTCGCCGCGCGGCGCGTCGGCGCCGCGGTCCGCGCCTCGGCGCAGGCGGGCCTGGATCATCGTGGCCCTCCCCACGCCGGCGCTCCAGGCGGTCCTGAGGAACTCCTGGACGCGCCTCTGCTCCTCCTGGGACGCCGCGAGGCTCGCGAAGCTCGAGTGGAGCAGGTCGTCCCTCGCGAGCAGCTCCAGCATCTGCGGCGTCGACTGCACGATGTGGCCCGCAGCATCGCAGGCGCCCGCGGCGTCGAAGATGGTGCTGAAGACGCTGTGCTGCGCCGACAGGACCTGCTCGAGGCTCTCGCGCGCCTGCTCGAGCTCGCGGGTCAGCAGAAAGCTCCTCTGGTTCGCGGCGTCCACGCTGCGATGCACCAGCACGGACACGGTGGCAATGATCAGGCCGGAGCCCACCGCGCGACGCAGACCCACTCCCAGACCGACGTTCGCCACGACCCAGAACAGCGCATACAGCAGCATGTGAAGACCGCCGCTCCGAGCGTAGCCCAAGGAGGAACAGACGAACACGCGGGCCAGGTACCCCACATAGAAGATTTCCAGTTGGTGAGGCTCGTCCTCACCCCATGCGACTACAAGAGAAACAACAGAATTGAGGAGAACGACGACGATCTGCACTACACACGCTTCCAGTCTGGAAATACGGTAGAACTTGTCCTCCATTTTGGACGCGAAAATCTCTATAATTGCCTTACTCGCGACACATGGAAACATGTTCCCAAACATTCCCAAGAGCGACTTGGAGCCACACAGCCACGCAATGATGCTGAACGAGACGATTATGGTCCCGGTAGCTGATTGTATCCCGCGAAACAGATCAAGCGTCTCGCACTGTCGCGTGTACTCCTACTCCCTGAAGATGTCTGGATCGTGGATCACCCTGTGACTCCAGGGCTGGATGCGCCACCGAACCCGCACCACCTGCTGGACCTTCGCGCCGCTCTGGAAGAGGAACCGCCACACCTGCCCCCACGCCCTGCAGCCGCGCGGCGGCCCAGCCGGCCCCAGGTGGCAGCTCGACTGGGCCTCCGCTCTGCCGGAGCCGCCGTCCCGGCCGCGCCTGCGGCCGAGCATGTGCTCCGCGCCGCCAGGCGGCGCCGCGGGGCCCGGGCGGCGGGCAGAGCTACGTGCGAGGCGGGGCGGCCCCCTGGTCTCGACGGCTGCAGCCAGGGGAGCTCGAGCCGAAGCGGCTTGAGCCAGGGCTACGGACCTGGTGGGGGTGCGCGGAGCGTCTAGAGTGTTTGGGCCACCTAGGAAGCCCGAATCTTACCACCGTGACCGAGATCTGATCATCTTCCCTGGGTGGAGGCACACTGCCGATCTTGGTGTTGGTGTCTACCTCTAGGCCTCCCGACCGGATCGAGAGGGATCGCGCCCCGAGAAGCTCCCAGAGGCTCCTGAGCATTGAGAATCTCCTGGAACCTTCGCCGTCGCCGCGGCCGCCGCTGCCGCCGCAACCACCGCCGTCGTCGCCGTCGGCGCCGTCTCCGTCGTCGTCGTCGTCGTCGTCGTCTTCGTCGACGTCGTGGCCGTCGCCGTCGCCGTCGTCGTCGTCGTCGTCGTCGCCCTCGTCGTGGTCGTGGTCGTGGTCGTGGTCGTGGTTGTGGTCGTGGTCGTGGTTGTGGTCGTGGTCGTGTCGCCGTCGCAGTCGTCGCAGTCATCGTAGTCGTTGCAATCGTTGGGCGTCGTCGTCGTCTTCGTCTTCGTCGTCGGGCGTCGTCGTCGTCTTCGTGGTCGGTCGTCGGTCGTCCGTCGTGTCTCGGGGGACAAACAACTGCTGATACCGCTTCTCCCCAAACCTCGCCTAGGGTTCGTTCTGACGAGGGTTCCAGGGCGAGTCCAACCGCGGCGACGAGAGGAACGAGCAGCCGTATAAAGATCTTTTCGTCCTCCAAATCGCCGCGGCCGTCGCCGTCGACGCCGTTGTCGTTTTG